TAGGCCATTCACAAAAAAAAGGGGGGGGGGTATTAACATGTTCTTATGCACAGTAGAATAGTAATTGGGCTGATTTAACAATGCCATGCACATATTGTACGGAACAACATAGGGGAACTCCTGCTTTTTCATTCCTCATCCTTACTACAGTACATGTAATACTATTGTCATTTTCCTCTACTTCTTTGTATGTTTGTCAATCTCTTGTGAACTACTATTTCTGGGGTGCCTTGATACTTGATGGTCGAAGCAGACTTTTGTGCTGTTGAGCTGTCCCCGTAGGATTATGCGATTGTGCGGCCGCGTTTTTTTCGCGTAATTCTGCATATTTGCATAATTTTAGATTCTCCGCGTTTTTTCACGTTTTTTTTCGTTTTTTCTTCACAAAACAATTAATTAACGCCTCGCCATGTGATTAAAGGGACGTAATCACCGTAATAAGTCTCATTTAAGTGAAAAGTTGGTTATTTCCCTTGTTAGAAGATCTTGGTTATGGGTTGGGGTTTTGTTCCTTGAGCATGTTCAATTATTCAATCCATCAAAAGTTGTTGTTCTCATGTCTGCTGATGTTTCATGTTTGACAGGTGTCCCTGGTTTTAGTACACTGCATCAGAGGTCCAGATATCCTTCTTTTTTTTTTCTTTCCTTTATAGATCTAGATCTAGATCTACAGCTGAAAGTTACAGAGATTATATTTTTTGGTTGGTTTTTTTTATTTTTTTTTTTACTGATGTGTATTGTTTTCTTTTCCAAATACACAACAAATATTATTACTGATACTGATATGTTCCGTTTTTTATTTTTCTGTACATAAAACATGAAAATCATGAAACTTCGCGTTGAAAAAAAAGTGCAAAACATGTCGCGAATGGTGTCACAGTAACTTGCATAATTTTTGCATAATTTTGCTTTTTTTGGTATAATTTGGCCTTCTAAATTTGCATAATTCTACGGGGACAGGTTGAGGCTAGAGAGGTGAGCAGAGTAAGCCTGATTCAACGTTCGAACTTCTCTGTTGACATCTACCCCTTGGCGCTGGCGCTCATACTAATATGACCTTATACACTTGCGAGCGCCGTAAAACCTTACTAAAAAAAAACCCAACAGTGACCATGTCCAACGTGGCCAGAGTCCTTAAATTGGCCTTGGCGCAGCATCTGCTTCCAGAACACGTTTTTCCTCGTCTTCAACCCGTTTCCCCTTTCTAAACTTATTTTAGCCCTTGATCTTTGATTTTGGGGGATGAAATGAACGTCGTCTGGTGCTAAGTCTGACTATTATAGCCTGGGTGTTTTGGGGTTTTCCACTGCAAGGAGTCCAGCGGATCGGTGACCTTTCGAATTTCGGTGCTGGAGCGTTGTCATAATACAGGGGAACTCGAATTCAATGAAGTCGTCGGGCCTGGCCTTCAGTTTCGTTGAATCCGAGTGTTCGTTATACCAAATATCACTGAATATCAGGTTTTTGTGTAGATAATTACAGGCACCGAGCAAGTAGTGATCGAATAATGTGTTCGACTTTTTAAATCAAAGAAGTAGGGCCTACATGTGTTCCAGGAAAATACACTGAACTCTACCAAGCACACGCTGCGTAAAAGTGCTGATTCATTCAAAAGCACACATGTTTCATCTATCGTCTATAACGTTTAGTTTGCCAAACAAGTTATGTTGCTGTGTAGAGCCTAGCATACGACTATGACAACGTTTGATTCCACAGTCCGGCGAGCATTTCATCACGTAGATCTATAACTATAATGTCAAGATAAGCTTTGCATTGTACTATTGATCAGTAGCAGGGGGAATAATAACAGGTCGCGTTT